AAATAGAATCCTGACCTTGGAGATGGGATCCACATTCCAATCCCCTTCCAACCCTCATTGCTGGTACCAAAAGGACCACAACAGCTGCTACTCTAAGTTCAGAAAATCAGCCTTGGACAGGGTGTAGACGAGGCAGTGCAGGGGAGGAAGGGGAGGAGACTGGAGTCTCCAGGAAATGAGGTATCCTGGTGATGCTCAAGTCCCTTTCTTCCTGCTGAAAATGACCATCTGGCTAAATTGCAGAGTGGCAGAAACAGGGAGGCAAAGATGCTTTTGTGCTCCTCCCATCCTGCACTGGATACCTGTAAGCTTTCACGTTTTAAAGCTTCCAAGCATTGAAGGTGCAAGCAATGGGACTGCACCCTAAATAAACTAATTTTATGTTGAATTGCATGGCACTTCTTCCTGGAATATGAGTCTGTTGACATCAAATAAACAAAGCGAGATATTGTGGAAGAAAAATGAGGGCATAACCAATATGTTAGTGCGCAAGTCCATTATCCTCCACCAGTTTCTAACCACATAACCATGTATCCTGCACAGTAAGGTAGCATAAGAAAAATGCCTGAACAATTTCCCCTGAAATAGTTTTCTTGTATACGACTTCCCCAAATAGACTTTTGGGTGCACATTACGAGCCAATAACTGCTTTTAAAAATTAAGAGAAATGTGCAGTGTGAAGGATAAGTACATTTTGCGTCATATTTTCATCTGGGAAGCATCCATTAGTCTGATCCATTTCAGCAAAATTCTCTCCCACCCAAGCCCCCTTGGGGCTCACCTGGTGGTCAACAATGAGCTACCTTTTAACACTTTCTGCAATGCCCTGGTGCAGCCCTCTCCAACTTGCTGCCCTCCAGATGTTTGGACTGCAATTCCCATCAGCCCTAGCCAGCATGGCCAGGAGTCAGAAAAACTGGAAACTGCAGTCTAAACCATCTCCGGGGCACCAGGTTAGGAAAGCTCAGAGAGATGCTGTTTCAGGTACTCCAAGGCATAGTGAGGAATTTAAAATGGCGGCTTGTTGCCCTCAGCTTTCTGCCCTGCTGCAGCTACCTGTGGATGCTGGATGTTGATACACTGGGCCTAGAGACTAGTTACACTCACACTGAGGCTATTGTATCTCTCAGGGCCTGTGAGCTGTTGCATTCAAATAGTGTTGAATTTGTGAAGAGCCCTCCACTCCAATCAGCAATTTAAGCAGTGTCTCCCACCAAATAGCATGGCTACTCTTCAATATAAAGACTGTCTAGATCTTCCTTGCACAAATAACAATGGAACAATGCATATAAACCAAATCATGACCACTGCTCATATACCCGCTCATATATATGGTCATCATCTCCAGTTATCTTCAGCCACTTGTATCCCTTACGGCAGCCTTCTATTACAGTGTGTTTAGTAGTTTGGGTCCTCTAATTGACTTTTCAGGAAATGCATGCATGAATAAAGAATTCAGAAATACAGAGGACCCCCTCTCTCTCCCTTCTCCCTCTCTCTCAATCAACTAATGCTGTATAAGAAGCAGAAGCAGGCAATGCCAGAAGCAGGGCAATCAGGCTTCATTCATCTTTGCTGGAGAGCAGAGAATGCTAGAGACAGACAATTACTTCCAAAGGAGTTGCACAGGATCTTTTGGCAGGTATTCTCGCCCATGGCATTTTCTTTTGTGCCACTTTCATTTTCTGGTCAAACAGGTTTTGCAAGTTTTTGAAGCACTAGAAAACTCTGCAAAGGCCTTTTGAATGAAGTTCGTAGGAAGACAGGGAGGGAGTGAACACTGTAAAGGTCAGCATGATGCAGCAGGGAATAAGCTTGGCTATGAACGTAGGAAGAGCCTTGCTGGACCAAGCCAAAGGCCTTTCCAGCCCAGCATCCTGTCTCCACAGTAGGCAGGCAGAGAGCCATAGAAAGCAACTGTGCAGTAGCACTAGGGCTAATGAGACCCAATCAGTCTTGGAGCTCATTGTGGGTGACCTTGGTTCCAGCCGCTCAGCCTAGCATATCTCACAATATTTCTGTGAGTATAAAACAGTAGCCCAATGGATTATTTATACCACCTTGTGTTCTTTCAACCTTATTCTTGAATATCAGAAAACTATCCTCTGCTGTCCAGAGCTCTGCTCACTCTCTCTGTGCACCCCCAACCTCTCTCCTTTTCCCTTCTCAGAAGATCAAGAGGAGAGACTTCTAACTACAATATTTTATTACATTAAAGCCAGGACTGGCTTTGTGATACAGAGGAAGTAAGATAAAGGTTGTTACCAAGAGACATCTATTGAGTTAATGAGCCCTCTGATTGTGGATTTAGTTCACCCCTGCCAGAAATTGATTCCACACAGAAATCCCCTCCTCCCTTCCCCACCAAATGGACTGGGCTCCACCCTCAGGAAGGCTCACACTGCTTGTGATCTAGACAGTGGGAACTCCAGACTTGTGTGAAATGGTTGTCAAACAAGTGGGCTGCTAAAGTCACGCGCTTCCCCTTCTGACTTTTCCTATTCTGCAGTGCCTCCTCCAAAACCAGAGGCAGTCTGCTTCTCACCAACCACTTGGCTTATCTCACAGCTCATTGGCCCTGGAGGTTCAAATATGTGCAATAGAATGCATGTTGATACCTTTGTTGGACCAAGCATATTTTGGAACCGGTGCTGGCTTCAGGTTTCTGAAGACCCTTGAGCAAGATAGCCTCTGTGGGTCCCACCCATCAGTGAGTCGGCCTTCTTACTGCCCTTGTCAGCAGCCATGGCTGCTCCTCTTTCTTCTTCTCATCGTTGCCGCCACTTGTGTGCATTTCAAGGAGAGAACCAGGGGCTGAGGCCGGGGACAGTGCCTGTTTTTCTTTCTCCGCACCACTGCTGTCTGGACCAGAGCAAGAGGCAGGTGAGCAAGCAGGCTGCAATGGTGAAGGGAAGGAGCAACTCCAAGGGGCTCTTTTCAGGGAGCCCCTGCTGGGATGAGGGCCTCAGCAAGTGCCGAAGCATATCTACTCTTGACATTGGCCCTGGCTGAAATACTGGCGAAAACCAATCATCCCTAAGTCCTTTCCATACATTAGTGCTGAAAGTACAGATTAGATCCACTCATACTGGCATTCGGAAAGGCTGAATTTTCTCAAGCATCAAAGGTCAAGTGGAAAGAAACAAGGAAAATGAAATTACATGTACCAGTATGAGTAACGCGTACCTTTGTGAATCCTATGTCAACAGTTGATTGAATTTATTATTATTATTCGATGTTATTCTTGCAGATAAGTGGATGAATATAGAGGGGGGAAACACATAATTTTGGTTTATAGTGTAAAACATCTTCCATTTGTTAACAAAACAGTTATACCAACAGTCCTTGACTTACAGCTGTTAAAAAAAAAACTTCTTGAGTCATTAATGGGCTGACACCATAAGAGGTCATACCATTTGTAAGGTTACCATGGCAACCAGTGTACCATCTGGAGGGGGGAGCCATTATTGTCCTCTGATTAATCAGAAATACCTAAAGAGCCCAGAAGGCTTTCCCCCTCCACCCCAAAAATCTACCAAAGCAGATTTATGGCCCCTATCATCAAAGCCCTGGGACACTGGAAAATAACGTATTTAATAGTAACAAAAGGCTTACTTCTGATCACTGGCTTTTCTTGGGCGTGTGATCATCTTTGAGGTGCCCTGCATGAAAAGGGGATTCAAAGCTTGCTGAATTTTTGTCTGTTTTCTTGTTGTTTTTAAGTTTTATGCCATCTAGTATCCTGTTTTACATGCAAATAGCAATACAAAACCAACAATACTACTACATGATACACTTTACTGTACAATACAAAGTGCTTTACCAGATTTTAAAAGCAGCCACTCAACCATAAACTGTACCATTTAAAAGAAAATATGAATGGTCAAATGTTAATAGGCTGGGAACAAGGAGACTTGCAGGCCAACACCATCTCCAGGGCACTAGGTGGGGAATTCTACTGTGCCATCGCCATGAAATGATTACCGATGGACTACAGGGTGTGAGCAGAATATTCCTCACCATATTGCTGCATTCCATGCCTTTTATTGATCCTCCAAGCAGACAGGAAAGCAGAAGCAGCATCAATTTGGAAATATTGAAGAGTACCCCCAGGAGAAATCCGACACTGTGCGTGTTCTATGCCACTTCTAAGTCCAGGAACCAATTACCTAGGCAAGCGGTGAGCTCTCTCACATTGGAGGCATTCAAGAAGCAGCTGAACAGCCATTTGTTAAAGAAGCCATGACTTGGAGCCCAGCCTGAGCTGGGGGTTGGTTCCAATGGCCTGATTGGCCCCTTCCAACTCTACACTTCCATGATTATGATTATGATTATGATTATTAGAACATTTCTATGCTGCCCCCCAGGTGTGGTACCTTCAGTGCGCCCCTTTCTTAGTAAGCCTTTTTGCAACCAGTATCACCAACTCCTCCTTTGCTTTCTCTTCATTATTATCATGGGCTTGCTTACCAGTTAGAGAGCCAGCAAATGAGAAGGCAGTGGCATCTGCTTCTCCTCCTTCTGACCACCAATATTGGGACTAGAAGGGGAGGCAAATGAATGAGAAGCTGGCAAGGGTGAAGAGGTGGAGCAGCTCCAGAGGGCTTTTGACAGGGGACCCTGCTGGAGCATGGAGCTTTGCCATGTGCCTTCGGTGCCAAGCCATACTGCACAGGACTAACAGACAGAGAGTTGGTGGATGATGTTCTTTCTTCCCAGTCCTGGGGATAGAGCAGCCATGGTTCCCCTGTCACAGCACAGTATCTTGGATCCCTGATCACAGTGCATTTGAATGAGAGTAGCTGAATGAGCTCACAGCTGCACAAGGCTGAATGGCACTCACCTATGTGGCAAAACATCATTCTAAACCGTTCTCTGTCCTTTAATTACATGCAAAATCTCCTATCTGAGGCAAGTCAGCTCGCCTTGCCTAATGGTAGGCCCAGCCTTGTAATCTCATCTTTCTGATGACTGTTGTTTATCTCTCTTTCTCTCCTAAGGTCAACCCAAATAAAAACATACTCTTGGGATAATGCCCAGGTTATTTTGGTCGGCAATAAATGTGACATGGAAGAAGAACGGGTAATCTCCACTGACAGAGGGAAACATTTAGCAGAACAACTTGGTAAGAAGAGAAATGATAAAAGAGCTGTTTACTGTTGGTGACCCTGCTTAACTGCACAGGTTAACATGAAGAAAGAACTGGAAAAAGGAGATGTAGGTGTATTTGCTCTGCTCTCCCAGTAGCCCAGACTAAAAAAAAGAGGTTTGGTGTGGAAGGAAAACTTGCTCTCACTTTGGGATCAGGTAGCAAAGCCAGCTCCCCTTTCTCAAAGCACCTCTCCAGTAGATAGTGTCAGGGCATGGTCATATGGCTGTTCAACAGTTTCTAGATGGCTGTAGGATAATTTAGAGTCACGGGGTAATTCAGAGCCTGCTCCCAGCTTGGAGCTGGGACTTCAAACTCAGAGAACCCTCCCTGTATGGGAAGAACCACCCTGGCTGTGGCTCTGAAGCTGCGGGAGTTGCTGTGGAGACCAGGTGTGTGGGGCAGGGAGGGGAAGAGAAAGGATCTGCCAGCGTACACAGGGGCACTTCAGCCTCTGAGCACAAGCATGGTCATAATGGACTGTGTAGGTGCTTTGCATGGCAGCCTGCATAGGATGCCCATGATCTTCTGAGTATGGAGGGTTCTAGACAGCCTCATTAAACTGTGCTGCTGGTGACCAAAGATCAAGGGAACTCAAGCCCAATTTTTTTAAAGCCAAATGGCATTGCTCACTTCCAAAAGAACGTGGCATGTGGTAAACATGTATGAAGCCCAATGTAATTAAAGGCAAAATATTGTTTTCTCTTGATTTCCCATGTCTCTTGGATTCATTAGCCATTCTCTCTCACATCTTCATACACATTAATCTCTCTCTCCTCTTAGGTTCTGGGTTTGTTTTTGTTTTTCCTTTTCTGTTCTGCACCCTTTTTTAACACCTCACCTATAAGGGCTTAGCTATACACTGCTTGGCATCAGGAGAACTTGTCAAGTTCTGGTTTAGTATTACATGCATAAACCTTGGGCCTGTGTACTCTGCCCACCTCTCTCTTTTGCAGACATGAGCAATCAGAAACATTCACTTCCATTCTCAATTCACCATGGTTTGCTGTTATGTGTAACCTGCAACTGTGGTTAATCTTAACTATGGCGAGGAAAACAAGCCAGGGTCAGAAACCACATTTGGGGCAGGTTCATGTAACACAACAAGCCAAGGTGTTTTCTTGCATAGGATAGTCTGTCAGGTTGTCCAAACACTGTTATGGTATTCCGGGATTGCTTTTGATTTTTATCTGATCACCTAAAAGAAGCACCATGGTTTCCACAGTCCCGATATACAGTTACCACAGAGTCCCTCAGGAAAGAGTGGCACTTGCTGCAAGAACTGTACCAGCCATCCAGTACTGGGATTGAATTTCAGGCACAGTGGCTGATGGGTTACATGCCAAGAGTGGGAGGATTGAGCCTGGAGGGTGGAAACATGCTAGGGTAGAAACCACTTAATTGTCTGTCAGACACATCCAAGCAAAATAGCTGTACCATGCAGGGTTGCTTGTTATACTGACTCCAACTGTGGAGTGGAACTGTTTCCATAAAGGTTGTTCTGGGTTTACATATAACGACAGACTGTGGTTAGTAAAGAAAGAAGCTAAAGCTTCTAGTCTGTTCTCCTGTGCCAGAGGTGGAGGAAGGGAAGGGAACTCATGAGCCCAATGTGTATTTGTATAAGGGTAAACTTTGGCTTTATATGACATGCAGTTATGTCTAAAATGCAAATTGCTGCTTTTAATTCAGAAATGCAACTTCCTTCCCCCTCTTTGTGTTCTGGACTTGTGTTTTTCATGCATTTAGATGCAGGAGTGTATTGGTAGATTTTGAAGTGTGGGTTGTTCATGATTGGCCCCATATGCACCCAAGGAGGAGGCAACAATGTGGGCAGCTGTGCTGATCCATATCAAAGTACTGTGCATTACAGCACAGAAACCCATAACAACACACTGATGCTTAGGAAAATCCACTTCCCTCCAACTATGAGGATTGCAGCTAAATGCAGAGGAAACAAGGGAACCTGAAGGGGCTGACAGGTGACTTCATTGTCAATGGTTCAGCTAGCTAATTTTAGACACTGACACTATGGCCTTCCTGGCAAGAAGGGGGATGGCTTAGATGGTCATATGTATTATTTCCATTGCGAACAAATCAGCCAACTTTTATCTACACATTTCCCCCTGCCCCATTCCCCGCCTTCGCAGCTGATTCTGCATTCCTGAAATATCAGAGCAAAGAATATATAAAAGAAAAGAAGTGAAAAAGCTGCTTTTTGGCAAAATTTGCAAAAGCAAAGCACAAAACTTTGAGCATGTGCAGTTTTTCCATTTAATTTCACTTAAGGCACAGCACTATCATAACTACTGGAATAAAATGGAGTTTACTCCTGCCCTCATGCTGAACTCAGTTATTTGGGAAGAAGCTCCATTTTGTTTTAGAAAATGATAATATATTTTTAAATCCAAGATGAACATCTGTCATCATGTGCGTGCCCCGTCAGTTTCCCCCTGGCTGAAATATTTAACAGCAAGAAGCAAGGCTACTGTGGCAACCCACATCACACCTGCTGGACTGCAGCATGCCAGCGCCAGCCCAGAGGGTGACACGGCTGTGCGCCTGCCCCGCCATCATCGCCTGCCCCTCCTGGGGACCTGCCCAGCGGCCGGGGCCCTGGACTTTGACCGCAAAGCATAGCCCTAGTTGCACCTTCACCACCATACCTCCTCATCGCAGTGTTCCAGTGTTTCATCCCTGTGAACTCAAGCCCACCACACCTGTGTCAAGATGGAGAGGAGGAGTTGTAGCAGAGAAATGGCAAATGAAAGACGGGTCGCACAGCCCACTGCCTCCTTCTTTTAAATGAAGAATTGCTTGCTTGTGAAACTTTATTTCCTTATTAAAAGCAGCTATTTGGCATCTCAGCATACATATATCTCCATGTAACATTGTCTTGTTAAGCCCTAAAGGAATATCCAATCTGAGCCTTTGCTGTTTTTGGGAGCTTTGGAAATAGTGGGGTAGGCATGGATACAAAGCCTTTTCTTCCCTGGTAGCAAACCAAGGAAACAAGAACAGGATGAGGATTAGAAAGTGAGAGAGCCGAATCTTTTGGGTCATCCTGAGAAAGGATTGAACACAGAATAGCTGGAGAAAGATGGTTTGGAGAAATAACTCAAGAATAAACTGAGATGGAAATCAATTTAGAGGATTTACCTTTTCGTTTTCTTTAAGTGGTTCTTTTTATCAGAAACACTAACAGCACCTTGCATTTCATTCTAAGGCATGTTGTCCCCAGCAGCAGTGCAGCCCTAGCCCAGTGGTAGCAAGAAGCAGAGAGGGGCAAAGGGAATTTATTTCAGAAGGCAGGAAACTTGCAGCTGAAAGAAATGTTCTTTCATCTAGAGGTCACTTCATGCATTACTTATTTTAAGTGCATCTCTAAGACTTATGTGAAGCTGACACATATGTGTGCAAGCACACTTGGGTTGGCTGTGTACAGGATGTTTATATTTTCAGAATGGTTTATACATAAAGATGATTGTAGCCTTCCCCATGTCTCCAAAATATTATTGTTGTATGTTTATAATTTCCATTTAGGACCTTAACAAGCAGGAAGTCAAACCATTAAGTTTCTTGCTTCTGTTCTGGTTCAGCTTCAGCATCAACTGGAGTTGCTCCAGTTTGAGTCTGATTCAGGCCCATATAGGTTCAGTAACCAATTCAGCATACATAATGAACTGAATTAGTTCTGGTTTACATGAGAATGTTGAAATATAATCCTCATTATTAATAATGATCATTGGCACTGATCATTCTTCCTGGGTGCCCTATTTGCCCAGTTGGCAAACAAACCATGGCTAACAAACAAACTTGGTTTGTTCTTACCTCTAAGCAAGCCAGAGTGCTGGCTTTGCACATCACAGCAACCCAGAAATGGAGCTTTCTTGGGTTAATATCCAATGCAGAAAGAAAATGTAAGTGATGAGTGGATAGATGGCAGCCATACCAACTGCTGGGTTGTTTGCCCCAGGAAACTATGTTATATGCAAACCAGGTCAATGCCTTACTAGCGTAGATTCATTAACATTCTCACTGCTACCTATAGAGTCGGATTGAGCAGTGCAGCATAGGAGAGATGCTCTTCAATGCACAACTATGGTGTTCCCTTCCTCCCGTACTTACACTGCAAACCCATAGATATATCCAGTGTTAATCCTACTCATGGTCAACTGAAGCTAGTGCTTGATGCAGGAACATTTTACATCTTGAAATACGTTAATAATACTTTAAAAACTGTAAATATATGAATTGATTGTGCTAATATTAGTCACTTGTTTTGCTGTTATAAGTCCTGCTTACTTTACATGGCTCTGCAATTACAGTGGAGCCAGTGAGTATACCTGGCTTAGTTCTGGGATCTGCCTTCCATAAGAGGCAGTACCTTCTGTGAGGGAAAGATTACTGCTCACAGAATGCTCACCATCTGATTTTGGGGATCCCCTTTGCCCCCCTCAAACACACATTACACTGCAGCCCATTCAGCAGGCCTTCTAACTTTTTATATAGCATTTTCACAGGGCAGTAGGGGCTGCCATGGAAAGGAGGGGATGGAGAATTCCACTTTAGCCAGCAGACTTGATCCACCTTAAATCTGGATTGAACCCCAAGTTTTCTGTGGTTTGATGGAAACCTTCTTCTGAATTGATAGCCTCTGTTTTTCCTCCAGTTTTGTTCTGGTGCAGAATCAAAGACAACTTGTCAAATTCTGTTCGAGATTGTGGTGAGGAGGGGGAGAAATAAGTGTCGGTTCCAGTTTTCATTTTAGGTTCAATTTGACTCCCAGTTTGTAAATCAGATGAATGGATTTAGAGAAAAGCTTTTTGGAGTACATTTTGGTGAACTCACTGGCCATAGTCTGAGAGATCTTTTTTCACCTGTTTAGTCTCTCCTGTGTTCTTTCTGCCATGTGTACCTATTGGGGAAGCAGGACAAAAGCCATTTTTAAAGCTGTCAGATGTGTTCTAGCCAATAACGTACACTCTCCTTTTGCACTACAGATACAAACAAGCACAACTTAAGCCTTGGATGGAAAAGGAAGGTGTCGCCCACTAGCCTTGCACCAACTCCTGTTGGTGCTGAGTCAGTTGCGCAGTTGGCTGATGCAGCTTCACAGGCAACAGCTCTTCACTCTGTGTCAGGCAGAACCTTGTATAATACTGTGGTATATTTAGAAAACCTCTGCGCAGGCTTCTTTCCTGCACCAAATGTTTGAGAAGCCCCATGGAGAACGTGTCCTTCGGCCCCTCTGCTAGCCAGTGACACGCTCTCATTCCCAGAGGCAGCTTTAATGAATCCCCATTAAGTGGCCATCTGGGAAACAAGGGGTGCACCTAGACTTATCCAGGCTCACTGCAAACCTTCAAAGAGATCCAGTTACGTTGCTGGAAAAAGAATAGGCCTACAAGGCCAGGAAGAAGAAGTTTTTAACAAGGTTTCCTGTTTTCACAATAGTAATAGAGATGCCCCAGAAGCTGAAATCACTGAGGCTGAACATACCATCACCTGGAGCAATCCTAAATTCATCCTATATCCTCAACATGCAGGATTTTCCATGCCTCCTGGGATGCGCCAGGCAGCGCCAGCTGCAGGTTGCTGAGCAAGATACCTTCCGAAGTCTTCTCAACACCATTATCAATAACTGCTATTGCTTCTCATCTGCTGCCAGATGTTAGCGCCACAGGCAAAGAGCTCATGAGTTGCGGGCAGTGGTCTCTGCTCCTCCTCCTCCTCCTCCTCCTCCTCCTCAGCACCACCACTGCCTGGGCCAGAGGGAGAAGCAGGTGAACAAGCAGACTGCAATGGTGAGGAGGAAGGGCAAGTCAAGGGGGATCTTGCCAGTGGAGCCTTGCTAGGGTACGGGCCCTTGACATCTGCCTCGTCATGCCTTCCTGTGTAACTGGCCTGACTCGCCCCAGTTTGGGAATGTGAAAGGCATGCAGCCTTCCACCATGCCCAAGCTGGTTCTGATGAGTTTCACATTCCTGGGAAGCTTTGGAACTTCCCTGACCATTGGCTCCCATTAGGAGATATTTGTTAGGCCACTGGGTCATGAACCAGCAATAGGTTGAATAGAAGTACCGGCTGCCACAATAGCACTGCTAATAATATCATCTGAATTTACTTCATTGAAATATGGATATTGTTAGGCAGCTAGTTCACCACAGAAGTCTCAACCAGTACTATCTCAACACCATTCAAAGCCTGAGCAACAGATCTTGTACTAGTTGGAATGAAAGATTAGTTTCTCTGTAAGCTTAAATCCCAAATGCATTTGCCTTAAAGAAGCCAGCTGCTTTGTTTTTCCTTGACTTAGTCTTCCTTCCCTCGGCCATTATATGCCTTGTTCCAAAGTGCAGTTTTGATGCGTCACATTTTGTGACTCTGTTCCTTTCTGACTTCTTTTACCAGGTTTTGAATTCTTTGAAACAAGTGCCAAGGACAACATCAACGTCAAGCAGACGTTCGAGCGGCTGGTGGACATCATCTGTGACAAAATGTCAGAAACTCTGGAGACGGATCCTGTCATTGCTGCTGGTAAACAGAACACAAGACTAAAGGACACCCCTCCTCCACAGCAACCCAATTGTGGATGTTAATAGAGTCGTTGTTGTCACAGGCAGCTCCAGTGTGTTCTTTTGCCAATAGAGTATTTAACATAGGATCTATATGCCTTTCTTTATAACATTACTGGTTCCTTTGTGGGGAATATGTTGTCTTTGATGTCCACTGCTGATACAGAATTTATGTAAAGTTATTTTGCAGAACAGATTGCAAATATTTAAGGCCAGGACTCTCCAATTTCCCACCATTTGGTCTCTGCACATAGGTGGCTCTTCTGTCTTTTTCATATGTTTACTTTTCCCCCACATTTATCAACTTCTACTTATCTGGGACTGTGCTTAGGGATGTACCAATTTTGTTAAGTCTGTCCATCCAGGTTTCACAGATTGTCAGGTGTCTATCATTCCATTGTCTGCTTATTGACAGAATTGGAGTTTTGGTATGAGAATGTGCTTTAGCGCAACTACACACTGGCAAACAAATGCCATTGCATGAATCCCTGCCCCCCAACCCATTAAAACAACTGTCCACAAGTCCATGAAATCTGTCTGACTCAGAAAAAGCAGTTCTGATGTATAATCTGCAAATCAGGTTCATAGAAACATGAATTATTTGAATCCACTGCGGATTTTTCCAGTATCATACTGTGACCTCAGGCCCAACTCTGTCTGAATGCTATTCTTCCTTCAGCCTTTTTCACGTATTGCTATATACTACTCTAGAGTGATGATCCAGGAATAGGGTTCCAATTATTCAGCACTCCAAATCAACATTAACATCTCAGAAAGTGATCCAGCCTAGCATCATCTTCCCAGTAGGGTCTGCATTCCCTTGACTGTGGTCTGTTAGGAGAGACACAAGTGGGCTGCTAAGCAAGGGCAAGTTCCATCTTTGTCATGGCACAGAGAGATACCTGTGGATTTCCCAGATACTGGTCATCTGTCAACCGTCATTGTGGGCTGCATCTTCTGGGGTTTTGAGAGCCTATGGACAAGACACCCAGTGAATTTGCCTGATTGCCACAATTATTCACAGCTGCCATTGCTCCTCATCTTCTTTGTCATCACTGCCACCATCTTTTCATCACTGACAGGCACAGAGCCAGTGATCAAGTGGGCAGAGGCACCTGCGGCTTCTCCTTCTCACCACCACCTTTGCCCAGGCTGAGTGAGAGGTAGATGAACAACCAGGTTGCAATGGTGAAGAAGAGAGGAAGGTCCAGAGGCTCTTGTAGGAGGGCTCCTGCTGAGATGTGGGCCCTTGGCTGGTATTCACCCCTGCCATCCTTTGATACTGCCCCTGCTTTGGACCACTGGTCTACGGAATCTGACTGTTAGCAGTTGCTTCTGGGCTTTGGATATCCACACCCAGAATGTGGCTTATTTTGAAGAATACCCTTCCATCATGTAGACTAAGTACATGCAAATCTTTATGCCCATTTACTAATAAAAATGCAAATCCTGAGACAGTTAAAATGGGGAAGGAAGTATGGACTATGGACTATTTTTAAAAGCAGAGTAATACCCCAATTCTTCAATTGTTTGTGATGTGAATAGTCAAATGTAGGATATGTTCTTTCTTTTTCAAGAGTGTTTCTGCACACCACAGAAAATATAGCTACTTGCACTATAGACAGCTGAGCCAAAAATAACTCCACCACACTTCATATGCTTATTTTCATACGAACACCGACACACATTCCACAATCCAGGCTGCCTCTGTGCATCAATTCAGAGTTATTAATGCATAAGATAGAGAGCTGATAGGCATTTCTTCTCCGTTCATCAATACATACAGGAAATGAACAGTCACAAGATGACAGAGGAAAATGTTAACACGAGATAATCAAAATATAACAAGAGAAAATTATTACAGATATGTGCTCAGTTTCACATACATGGAAACTCTGCTTTTAAATGTGCATTGCTCACGGGATCCTTGTTAACTACTGCTAGTAAAAACAGTGAAAATGACCATTTTGTAAAGTTATTCTTACCCAAAAGCAACTGTGCCTTGATGCTAAACAATCTGCTCAAGATTGCCTCTACTGCAGGGGAGGGAGGCTTCCGGCTTGCAGGCTGTACTTGGTGTCTTAGCAGAGTCCTGAGTGCCACCAGCTGGGACCAGGTGTAGAAGGGGTTATGCTTGGGCTTAAAGAGCAGGGTGCCCCTGAGCAGCTGCTGAGTGAATACAGGCCCTCCTCCTCCTCCTCCTCCTCCTCCTCCTCCTCCTCCTCCTCCTCTTCTTAGTAGCAGAATTGAGCTGAGTTGCACACTCCTTCACAAAGTTTGTTCCTAGTTACTCCAGTAGTCTAATTGATGGGATGGGGAATCATTTTGGTGTTGTCACATTCATCTCCTGCAGAGATCTGTCAGTAAATCCCAGTACTCCTCCTTCTGCTGTGTTGTGCATGTGGAGCTCCATCTCCACGGGAGCTCCTTCATCCCCTTGTATGGGTTAGAAATGCTCTTCCTACCCAGCGCAGGTCTGCCATGAGGTATGCCCAGCATCCCAATTGCTGCATTTAGTCCACACATGCTGCTCTGTGGACACAAGGGAGATCTGAAGTTTTTCAGGTGCTCTTTATGTGATGGTTGATTCTTTGAAATATGGGGTCCAATTCATGCGTGCATGTTCAATCATTTAGTTTTCATTATTTATGTAATCCATTTATATACCAGTTATCATCTCAAAGTGGTTTTACAAAATCAGGTATTAAAACACAACATGGACAGTACAAGAACAGGGTCAGACACTGATTTGTTTCAATGAATGAGATGCTGTAAAACATCTCTATTGCCCAAGAGCAACTCAAATAGAATGGGTTTTGATGGAGACAATTCACATGCACTGTTCAGGATTAAGTATAAGAAATGAATTGATGTACAGGCATAAGTGAAAACATACATTTATGAAGTGCAGGATTTTTCCAAAGCAGGAGTAGGCAACCTAGACCCACTAGCTGTTTTGAACTACAAATCCCATAAATCCCAGTCAAGATTACCAATACTAAGGGTTTGTGGGAGCTGTAGGCAAAAATATTGGAATCATGTCTCCATTCCAGAGGTTCTGTTTTTCCAGAACTCCAACTCTAATTCCTAAAAAGGTCAGTAGGTATAAATGTTCTATGCCACTGAGAACTCCCCTCCCTTTTATTTAATAGAACTGCATTCTCCCTTCCATTGCCACTCTCATTAATAACATCAGAAGTTGCCTGCAAGGACAGATCTGGGTCATAACTTCTCGAAGACATTTTGTCTTAGACTTTCTTATAGTTTTTAATATGAGCATCAGAAATTGACAGTGTTTTGGAAAGAAACAGAAAAAATTGATAATGATGATGATGATGATACAGCTCCTCCTTCACCTATTCAGGAAACAGAATGTGCAAATAGATTAGGAAACCACTAAAGGATAGTGAAAATACCAAGTTCTCATGTCATGTGTTTTAAAATATATCTCACCTTCTCTCCCTATACCCATGGGATTTTCTCTCTTTTTTTGATCACCTAGTTAATAAGCTCCCTCTCCGGTAATTGAGGCAGTTTTGCCCCTCCTTCGCCCAGCGACATTCCATCCTGATGGATCTGTCTGGACTGATCTGCCTGATCTTGCTCAACAGGCACCCAGCAGAAAGGAGGGGCGTAGAAAGGGGCTTGATAGGTGTCTGTTTAGCCATTTGTTCAATTACTCCTGCCTGTAAGGAAACCCCTTCACTGCATTTCACGGCAAAAGGAAGTGAAGGCCCTTCCCTCAGCCAATCAAAGGCATCACTCCAATTTTGCAGGATGGCCGGGACCGGAAAGGATGTCAGAGTCAAAATGCAAAACAGCTAGGACAACTGTTCACTTCACATGTGCACATTTCTATGCCTCCCAGGAGTGGAGTTTTCTGAGCAGCCCAGAGATCTTGTGTTCTGTGGGGCAGAGGGTCCAGAAATACAAGTGACAGAATAGATCAATACGGCTAGCAGCATTACAGCCAAAAGAGGACAGTCCTAAGCCCCACCCTTGGGATGCAAACAAACCTGTTACAGAAATAGTTAGTAACAGCTGTTGCTCAACTGAATCCAGGATCTGGGCAGAGGTGCAGGTGCTCTTGAAATGCAACACTCAGTCTCTGTTCATGGAGGTGGGGGAGGAACTTCTATCACCTGCCCCTCCAAAGGTGCTCCTGGCCATCTTCTTCAGTGCTCTGCTAAATGTACAGGAGGCAGGTAGTTACATTAGCAAGCTCCCATTTCCACCCTCTTCTGAGTGAGATAAGTGCTTAATGTTGCGTAAAAATGAAGACAGCAGAACCCAGATGTGTTTTTATTGCTGTTATCTAGAAAGCAACTTTGGAGAGGGATGCCTGAGTGGAGAGGCGGTGAGGGGGGAGCTTTTTACACTTTCCCTACCTATCCCTTTCCCCTTTGAAGGAATTGCCACTCAAGCACAGTGTTTAAAATGCATGATTGTTGTCACATATGAAGGGATCCTGTTTTGTTGATGGGTTTCTCATATTGAGGCCCCTCATATGAAAGGAACTCAAGGACAGCATTCAATTCTACACTGCGATCTTCTTCTAGTCTACCTGAAATGTGCTTTGAAGCAAACGGTACCCTGTGGGTTCTTACTCGTTATTTTATTTCTGTACTGCCCAAAAGCTGAAGCTCTCTTGATTGTTTGCAACAGCACATAAAATACAATGCAAGATAAAGGTAACAGTAAAACATCATAACATTAAAAGCTGGATTTTAAACCAATTTTAATCCATTACAGCAATCAGCAGGCATAATTAAAACAGCACAGCAACAGAACCAGGTGGCTGCTGTGCAGGGGCAGTCAGACCCCAAGTCCTTGCCAAGTCCACATTTGAGCATGACAAGAAAACAATGCAGAGAAAATCCTTTCTCCCTCTTTGCTCCTGCTTGTCTTCCTGTACTGGTTGTGCAAGCAGAGTAGAGCAGCTATGGGACTTTTGAAACCATTAAATTCATTTCTTATTTAGCTGTGTTTGTTATTTAAAGGGTGCTTGTCTGTTTTAATGTTGC